GCAAACTTCCTGATACCAGCACTTGCACTCACCGCACTGCATGCTTCTTTCAATGGGACATCGACAACTCGGACGTAGGCAATTGCATTTTTTGCACTGTCCAGTCATCAAACAGCGGTCCTCAAAAACTGAAACAATAGTATCCAGAGACAAAAATGGTCTGTGACCAAAAAAGTGGAAAACTGGATACAGCAAAAACGTCAGAGCCTTTCGAGGCTGCCTGCGGTTTCGTTTCAACGACCTTGAACGGCCTGACAACAGGCGCGCGACAACATGCTAAGTTATCCTTATTCTTGTTACGTTACCTCCTGGACCCTATCAAGTTTCAAAAAGGAGCTGAGATTCATTTGATAATTGGTATCTCAGGTAAAATTACGAAGTAACAATCGAACCAACGTGTATACTACAAAACAGAGAAAGGTGAAATAGTGTTGTAGATCACCAACGTAGATGATCTATGTCGAAATGATTGGAGGCCGACTCGAGTTAGACGTGAATAGTGTGACGAACCAACTAACGTCGAAGTCACACCTCGTGGTCAGCACCTTACGTGGACTACCCCCATTGGCGTAACAAGGTACTATAGATGCTTTGAAGACTGTACAACACAAAGGACGTTATTACAGAAATATATTAGTTAAAGTAGATACAAGCGAAAGTAAGACCACTGCCGCATGGGCCAGTCCATGGCGTATGATTAACTAATGCGCGTTTCTTGTACATGACCTTGGCAGGGAGCGACGATCTGTTCGACATTCAGTGATCCGACTGCCGGATGATTTGGCTAGGGCTCAGTGACATTTCACTGGCCCTACAATACTCCCCCACCAGATTCAGCGGCCGTTTGAATCGGTACCAAACATGTTGGGAGCAGTCGCGCGCCAGAGAGTGCCAAACGAATATTATAAATCCTTCAGGTATTGCTTATCTGTAAAAGAAATGGAAAGGAGGCGGCAGAAACTGGTCGGGAAACAGCGAGTCATAATATGTTAGTAGGACGTTCGTTAAACGTAAAGCGATTAACCATAGAAATAATGAAAAGAACAAAACGTTTTATTGTTCTATCAAGTCGCGCTGAAATATATAGTGTTGACAAGTAGTTCAGTTCCTCCGATGACAAACGTTAAGTCTGCCGCAAGAGTAATGATGCTATAGCGATAGTAGGATAAGTGTATTATCAATCGATGTCCTTGTTTGTACTGTCATTAGTTTAAAGTTGTAAGTCGGACAGTGTCGTTGACAGCTATTAATTAGTGTCAAATTCTAGTTATATCTATATCCAACAGACTAACCGTAAGTACAGAAGTATAATAGTGAAGAGTGGTCGTGATTTCGTTGTGCGAAGCTATTGACCAACTTGTAGTCACAGTTTCAAAAGTCCATGACTGCTGTTACAGTCAGTAAGGGTTGAAGGCTACAAATCGACAGCAAAAGGTGGCACGATGAAGTCTCTAAAAGACTATAAACGGTGAATGCTGCGTGTTTGTTCGGTTAGTGAACAGAAAAATATCGAAAAGAACATAAGAAACCAAGAGTGTCACTCTGGACTCATGTCAATGATACCCGTGAAAAACACTGTCAGTGTTGGGATAGAGGCGACAATATCGTTTTCAGTTTGCAGGAGATTCGCTCGACTGCATAAACTGATGATTCGCGCGAATGATATTGTCGTCAGACCACCAATTGAACTGGACAGGTTGTAAATCGTCGAGTAGTTGAACAGCCGATTGATGTACCGGAATCATCTGTTAAACAACAGCCACGATGAAACAATACTTCATAAAATGAAGTACGACATCGAAGTAGAACAACTACAATAGTTCAGATGTGTTACAATGTCAAGTCTAAATAACATCGTTCTTACGTATACTGACAGTTGCACTGAACGTTCGCTTAGGTATGATTAGTGTAACAGTTGGATGTGTGAATAAAAACATATACGAAAACTATGGTTGGGTTTGTGGAGAATTTTCGAGGACGTTTAGATATTTTCCAAACCCGTATCGCATGTAAATAAACCGAAAATAGAATTAAAATGACTGTCGTGTAATAAGGAAATCGAGCCATGATTTACCGTGTGAATTATTAGCAAATACAAGGGGTATAATAAACATTAATTAAAATGGTAACCACCAATGTAACTAAGGTTTAGAGGGTCCAGGTAACGTGGCCATTTCGTAAAAGGATGATACAAAGAGCTTATTACCTAGCATTAAGTGACATATTAAGTACGACAACATGTGTACTTGGGATATGGACTAAGCGTGCTCGTGTACATGCAATATGTTTTACCACAGTATGCCGACTAACGAGTCATAAATGTACATGATTTCGACTAAAACTTGACGGCAGTGACAGAATATATGACTAGTTTACGTGAAAGCAACTACGAAATGTTATCACGCATCATAAATATAGTACGAAATAATCTAATGAAATTATGAAACTCGCCTGGGTTACTCTTGCCTTTAAGTAATGAAGTAGGCATTAGTTTGAATCTGGATTATGTACGAGGTACTGTTGATTAAATTTTTCGATTAACACAGAGTTGTAGACTGACGAACAGTCTAAACGAGATCTAAGATCGCAGGAAATTTATAGTTCAAACTCACCGTGAATTTCTAGCATTCGTATCCTCTGTTTGGCCATGGAACTCAGCAATTGGAAATTAGGCAGGCAGTGGTAAAAAAAAGCAGAACGTTCTAGTGGATAGTGGTTAAGCAGAAAGATGAATTTATAGTCGATAGTTAATCTTGTCTTATTTATACCAGTGGATAAGGTACAAAGAGATATGCGTTCGTGTTGCCTTGTGGCTATACTCACGAGTGGTTGATATTTTAACAGACATATTACACAGGAGCATTTACATGCTGCTAATGCTTGTTAAAGAACCACGATAGCCGATTATAATCGTAGTTGATTGGTTAGTTCTGTCGATTGAACGAATTATCTAGGTTTAAATGCTAATCAACATTGACATGAAGCAACGAAAGTTCACAGTAACAGATTAACATAGGCGATGATAAAAATGAAAAGGAATAAGTATAGAATACAATAATAAAGATTATAGTGATAGGTTGCGTTATTCGAAGTCTTGCTCACCAGTGTAGATCACCAACGTAGATGATCTATGTCGAAATGATTGGAGGCCTACTCGAGTTAGACGTGAATAGTGTGACGAACCAACTAACGTCGAAGTCACACCTCGTGGTCAGCACCTTACGTGGACTATCCCCATTGACGTAACAAGGTACTATAGATGCTTTGAAGACTGTACAACACAAAGGACGTTATTACAGAAATATATTAGTTAAAGTAGATACAAGCGAAAGTAAGACCACTGCCGCATGGGCCAGTCCATGGCGTATGATTAACTAATGCGCGTTTCTTGTACATGACCTTGGCAGGGAGCGACGATCTGTTCGACATTCAGTGATCCGACTGCCGGATGATTTGGCTAGGGCTCAGTGACATTTCACTGGCCCTACAATGTCCTTCTCAATGATTTTAAGATTTTTCTACAGCAAAGGACTACTTAAATATGAAGACACTTAATATTTTTTCAACCAAAATGGACACTGGACAAACCCACAGCAACTGAAATACGGAGTGACGCCCCATACCAGGCCGTCCAAGGTCGTTTGAACAAAACGGCGGGCTACTCTGAATGGACCTGACCTGAGTGCTTGTCTTGACCATCTACAGCTTAACAATTGTCCAAACATTTCGTTTTGTAAGTTTGTAATCTTACTAGAATATTGATTAACATAAGCCACATGATGGTGGAATTTGTTTAGTCATTAACTTTGAGTTGACTGTTGGGTGCTTCTGTAGATTTCCGATTTCCTCAAATCTTTTATCAGTATCTTGATGAGGTATCCTTTCCAGTCTGTCGACACTTTTTCCTTCCCTTAAGTCTTCCTGAATGGATTGTGGAGCACGTTCGCGGTTGCTCACGAGACCGCATCATTAATTCAGGCCTTAGGGCGATTAGAAATCAAAAACAAAACCACTAGTCAAATGAGATGTTTTTCATCTAATAAAATAACATGCTGTAGCATAGAACATAAATACAAAACAAACAATAAAATATCATAGGCAATTGGGGGTAATTAGCTTGTAGGTCATTCATTGTGCAGTCTGTCTTGATATGACTGTTAATCCTAGTCGTTGACACTATCATTTTCGCAAGTCTTTAACCGAGGGGCGTTTCTAAAATGAACGAAAGATCACTGAAAGTTGTCCTTTCCAGCACAATTGTTTTGGACAAGCGCTTCTATCAGTTTGTCATCAAAGAGAACTTTAGTGAATGCTCATTAATTTTATGTACATTTTCCACTTCTATTCACTACCTTATTCATTATGTTCATATAAAGTCTGACGTTAATTCAAAAACATTCTGATCCACTTAGATAAGGCGAACAAATATTGTTATTCAAAAAACAGTAGACGAAAACTAGTGCATTGACCAAAAGTCCTACAAAGTCTAATTCGTTTCTGCATTGCTAGTTACCATCTATCTTATTCGACGACATTGTGAAATGGTTGTGTTTTTTATCTCATTTTCACGATCAAGTTTATGCTTTGGAGTACGGACTTTGAAATTCATCAGTAGTAAAAAAGGAACAGCTTATTAATACTAATTTACCCAAAACAACTGGATAGATGTCAAAAAAAGTAGCTTGGAATACCTTGTGATGGTACATCAATATTCACTATTCGTGTCATTTTAAATAATCGGGCATATCCTACTTGTACAAGCCTTTTTTTTATCTAAATAACCATCTATGATTCCGTTGTAAACATCTTAAGCTATTTCTATCACACTTGTAAGTATCTCGATGTTAAAAAATAACATTTTCTTATTAAATATGATAAGCATCCACCTTCTACACATCTAACGCAACTTCATTTTTTTAATTTCAGATATAATAGAACCCGTCCGTTATCTATAAGTATATAGGTACCCGTTTCTCAAATAATTGTACGTTTTTGCCATAATGGTGAAGCAACGTTGCCTTGATCTACTATTCAATAAAATACCTTCCAATTTTATCGCCTACATTGATGAATGCCATGTGCCTCGCAATAATAATAATTGGCTCTGGAAATGTTTAATAAATGAGAATTGTGAAAAATATACTTGCATACTTGTTACTTCTGAATTATACAACTACAAAACTGTTGAGAATTCTCATCAGTCACTTAAAGTTCTGCATACTTATAATTATGAAACTTCCGAAAGTCTTGTAAATAAGCTGTCAAAGTTATCTTGTTCTGTTAGAAAACGGAACGATCAACAAACAGTTATCTTCATAGAGTCATTATCTTGGTTTTTAATTGATTGTCCTATCGATTATGAATTTGATTACTGGTGTCAGTTTGTTATTGGTTCTTTGTTTAATCTTTCTTTAACACCCTATGTACAACGAGTAGTTTGTAACTTTAATCCTGTAATAGATAATTCTAGCAAGGTATATTATGGTGCATCTTCCACAATAATTGATACACTAGAAGCATATGCAACTTCTGTTATTTACTGCCAGTCGTTGACAGAGATTTCAAACAGTTTGACGAATCAGATCTGTCAATCTCTGAAATTATTTCATCGTCGTAGCCTTCAGGGTGAGTGTAACAAATGCTTAGAGAACTCAGTCTCTTTCAACAAGTCTTCATTTACTGAATGTGGTACCATCGAACTTGATACAAAAGCTTTAAAAATTCTCAAGTACTCGATAAATAAAAATGAACCAGATTCTTTACCAGTGCCTAGTCCTTTACCTAAGAGCACTTTTAATCTAACAATGACTGAAAGTGAAAAAATTGCTCGTAGTTTCGTCGTTTTACCGCATGATGCAGTACGGCTGTCCAACACAGTGGAGAAAAGTGAATCTCCTGGTTGTGTTATTCAGTATCAGCCTGATTGTTTTGATGATTTGGATGACGAGGATCCAGATGATGATTTACATATTTGAACATATAGTTTTAACATCTGAATTATTTTGATATAATATATGAAAACAAATATTTTGAGGCTTCACCTTTAAAACCCTTCCTGTAAACTGTTTTCTCCCTAAGTATTAAATTGTAATTATTACTTCTATTTTATATAAAATAAGACGTGTTAGATCATGTGGTTAAGTATCTGTTCTCACTAAATCATAAACACTCAACATTATTTACTTGTGGGGAATGTTATGTGACCAGCACAATCCATTAAAAAGGAATTCATTTTAAATTTATAAAATGATTTAAATGTAATTTTCGAGCCGATTTCCGTATTAAGTCAGTGCAACTTTCATTGTGTTAAATAATTTGGTGTGATTCGCACTAATTTAACTTTTGAATTAGTTCGCTATAATTTTCGTTCAGCAGGACATTCATCTGAACTAATTTTGTGTAAACTTCATCTAGTGGGACAAATGAATTAACTAATGATTGCTACGATAAAATCTGTATATAAATAAATGTATTAAAATGGGTCTCTATCAATAAAATTTCCCGGCAATCTTTAACTTCTATTTATAATTAGTGGGCCGGGAAAAAAAGGATAATCAGTCTCGTTCAGTATTATTAAGTCTGTCACAACGTAGGACCTGAAGCTTATGTACAAGTTGTCACACCCCATCAGCTCGGAGAGGTGAAATTATCATACCAAATCCCAGAATAGTAAAGGTAGTATCAGTAGTAACTCCTCGAAGATTTCATGCAGTTGGTTCCCTTTATGAATTTAAATAAAGCCAGAACAAACGTGGATGCAGAGCAATATTAGTTCATTACATCTCGTGGTTTCTCATCAGCTGCTTACAACCGTATATGTACTGAAAGTTTACATTGAAGATACAGTGTGATGCAATTGACGTAGATGAATGAAAAGAATCGGGATGATAAAGTTAATCAATAGTAATTTTATATATGTTCAGGAACAGGTCGGGGTTCTTTTGATATTGGAATCCAAGAAATAAGGGGTGGGTGATGCACTAATTAAGGTTCAGAGACAGATCAGTCAGCTACAACGTAGGACCAGCTACGTATATGCATCGGTTCAAGTTGCCGCTTGGACAGACACAAGATAAATTGCATGATAATCTTAGAGGTTATGAATGGTTTCCATAATATTCATGGAATTAAAAAACTGGTAAGATGGGTTGCGCAATAATCAGACAGGATTTCGAGAGTTTATATAAGTTAAGTGAATGCGAATATATGAGTGAAAGGGTGGTTTTAATGTACAGAAAATAAGAATTCGGCGAGGCAAGACCATAAAGAAATGATTTACCAGGGTAGGAATAGGTTTACTACTGTTTCTTTTTGGATACATAATTCAGGTTTGAGTTTTTTATCGCTGTTGTTTCAGCAAACCGAAGAGACGCCGTGTTCTTTTGTCTACTAATAATTCTGAAGGCTTGAGAAATGTCAATTGTGTGCCTGGTATCAAGTAAATGCCGAGCTATTGCACTGTTAAGTCATTACCCCTCAAAGTCTCAATTTCCCTAGAACATGCTCGGAAATGTGGACATGTACTCTCCTCACTGGCAATAGAAGAACCGTAGGCACCGAAGGTGCGACGCGAGGAAAAATATTTGAATTGACGAGATTAAAGCAAAAAGGAGGTTATGGAAAATTCGAAGTCTCAGAATTTGGGAGAGATAAATAATGGATGCGTTTAAGCCATTGCAAACGATTTTGAGCCATGTCATAGTCTCTAACCATTGGTTACGATAATCACACGGACAGAAATCGGTCAGTCTACACCTATTAACATGGCTATGTTCAGTCACTGGTGACTTCATGGACTAATCCCATTCTTTCGTCTAAGTACTTCTAGCAAATTCCTGCATCAGGAATTATCACCCTTTAAGGTAGGTGGTGATTATTATATTATTATTATTATTATTTGAACACATAAATATTGGTACAAGAGAGCGCCAATATATATGCGCCACACAAAACAATGGGAATTCGAAGAGAAAAAAAAAACTAAGGAACGCAAAAGAAAAAGAGAGTAATGACGAAGAGGTACAATCAGAAGAAATCTTTCAGGTAAAGGAGACACAACCACTTTTTATGAAGAAAGTTTTTTTAGGTTACAGCAGGATCGCCACTGGCTTCTATTCTGAGCCATATCTGATAACGTCTCTAGCCACTGTGTAGCACCATCTCTCGGACCCCAGCCAGGGAGTCGTGAAGGACCAACACAAGCCAGTCCTTTGCAGCTTTCTTTCATGCCACGACACCATGTCATGCACTGACCACCTCTCCGCTTCTTCCAACCAGTCCCAGAGTCGGCAAATAATGCACGACGTGGAATTCTCTGGGACGACATTCGGAGAACATGTCCAAGCCACCGAAGTCGGTGTTTCAAGATGAAGACACCAATTGAGTTATCATCTCTGTGCCCGAACACACGATGCCGAACCTCTGCATTACTGACATGGTGTTGCCACTGAATGTCAGCAATCCTTCGGAGACAGCGATGATCGAACACAGAGAGTCGTCTAACGTCCTCAACTCGGAGAGGCCAGGTTTCACAAGCATAGAGCAAAACTGCTCTCACCGACGCGTTGTAGATCCGGCCTTTTACAGCCAGACTAACATCACGAAGGCGCCAAAGGTGGCCCAGATTGGCATAAGCCGCTCTGGCTTTCACTATTCGTGCATTGATCTCATCACTCACACCCCCACCAGCACTTATGCAGCTACCCAGATACACGAACTTCTCGACTACGTCTATCTGCTCACCATCCAGGGTGAGTACAGGATTAGAATCCTGCCAGTCTTGTAGAAGTACTTTGCACTTCGAAGGTGCAAAGCACATACCATACCTACGGACATTGATTGCCAACTGATTAAGTGCGGATTGCATGCCTTGGGCATTATCGCACAGTAAGACAATATCGTCCGCATACTCAAGGTCGAGAAGTCTTTCTCCAGGCAACAGATCCACACCACCATTACTTACATTCATCAGAGCTGTTTCCAGAATGTCATCGATGGCAAAGTTGAAGAGGAATGGTGAGATTGGGCAACCCTGCCTAACCCCACTGCTCGAATGGAACAATGGAGAGAGGTGGTTGTATGCCCTCACTCTGCCTGAGGTGTTTTTATACAGGGCTTTTAGGATGTTAATAAACTTCTCAGGCACACCCTTCTTCAATAGACAATCCCAGAGAACAGTCCTATCCAACGAATCGAAGGTAGCCCTGATGTCAAGAAACACTACGATTGTTGGCCTTTGAAAAGTATGGCGGTGTTCTAACATTTGGCGGAGGGTGAAGATATGATCAATACATCCTCGACCAGAACGAAACCCAGCCTGCTCCTCGCGAGTCAATCTTTCTCGGGTTTTGAACAACCTACGAAGAATGACGGAAGCCAATAGCTTGGACGCAATCGGAAGTAAACTTATCCCCCGATAGTTGTTACAAGAACGACGTGAACCCTTTTTAAAGATAGGGACAACTATCGACTCATTCCATGACGTTGGTACACTCTCTAGTTCCCAAACCTTTGTAAACAACGTCGTCAATTCCTTAGTCAAAAAGTCACCACCATCTTTAAAAAGAGCCGGAGGTAAGTCATCTGGGCCAGGTGATTTGTAACGCTTCAAGAGTTGGAGTTCCTTGCGGACTTCCTCCTCATTTGGTGGATCAGTCGTCACCGGCCATGGAGGGCAGGACAGTCTGACCGATGTTACCGGAGCAGCAGGCCAGTTGAACTGCCCTTCGAAAAATTCTGCCCATCGTCCAAGACGTCGATGGATGTTAGTGATTGGCATCCCATCATCCTCGCAGATTGTTTCACTCACACCAGACTTCTTGCTGCCAGTGGCTCGGATGAGTTGGAAGAGCTTCCGGTAGTTACCAGATGCAGCTGCTGCTTCCAGCTCATTAGCACGCATCGACCACCAGGCTTCTCGGTCCTTACGCAAGCTTTGCCCGATTTCCTTACGTAAAATCCTTCGTTTATGGTCAAACTCACGGTTACCCGGAGTAGACCGACGGGCTTCAATGAGTTGTAAGGAACCAGAAGAAACCCAGTGCTTAAAAGCGGGACGTTTCGCAAACCCACAACTGACTGTTCCCGCCATTTTCATGGCGTCATGCAATTGCAACCAATGCTCATCTATACTTTTCGGTGGAGTGGTAGCTAGCCTAGAGGCTAGCTCGGTTCGATACTTACTTGCAACAGAAGTTGCAACCAGCTTGCTAACATCAATCCGTTGATGGCGTTCACTTCGTTGTCCACTGAAAAGTAAGGCAAGATTGGCGCAGACCAAGGCATGGTCAGAGTCCAGATAGGTACTCCAAAAGGAGCGGCAGTCTTGTACACAACCACGCCAGCGGTAGCTGATCGCGATGTGATCAATCTGAGTCCAGGCTTGAGATGCAGAGGGAGGACGCCAGGTGGCACATCGGCGATGACTGTGCCGAAAGTTAGTGCTAGCCAGAAACAGGTTGTGGTCTGCGCAAAGTTGCAGTAGACGGTCCCCGTTATCTGACCTGCGACCAACGAGTCCCCATCGGCCACCTAAACGACTCTCTTCTGTGCCTAGACGCCCGACCTGAGCATTCAAGTCTCCGGCTAGTACTACAATATCTGTCGAACGCACTTTCTGGAGAAGAACTGATAACTGGTGGTAAAACTCATCCTTGATTGCATCCGGGCTGCAATCTGTCGGAGCGTAGGCGGAGATGACGAAAAGACATCGTTTCTCACGCCGATTTCTTCTCACTTTGATGGAACTTTCTAATCTAACAGCACATAACCGACTGTTAATGGGGATCCAATCGACTAGTGCTGCCTCAGCTCTAGCGCTTAGTGCGACACCAACGCCAGCAAAACCAGACGAAGATGCCACAGGGTCCCCGGATAAGCGCACGTAAAACAAGCTTTTCGAAGCGACAGATGGAGATCGAATTTGTAGTACTTCGCCAGAGTCTTGAATACGGGTCTCGGATAGACAACACACGTC